CAAATCAAACGACTCCATAGAGGTAGAATTTATGATTAATTGAATATGCTCATTATTTTGAAATATCTGACTTTAACTTAGTATATTTTTACTTTTCGAGAGTGAAGTTACTTTGAATTTTGACTTATATTTTAATATTTCCTCGATTCAATAATAATTGTTTACGATTGACTTGACATATGAATTAAAAATTAGTAAATGATATGAGTACTTTTATCAATTCATCTCTATTAAATATAAGTTATCTAAACATTAAAAAATGAATAGTATTTAATTGCAAGGGTAAAATAGATATAAAATAATAAATGAATTATTTTTTTGGTCAGAATGATATTTTATCTATGTTATTTTACCTTTTAAAACATTTTTACCCTTTTAATTTTAATACCTTTTAACTAAAAAATGGAAAAAAGATCGATTTGTTTTAAAATAAAAAAAATATTATAGTTTTTTTAATTTTCTGGCCAAATTTTCTAGCCATTTAGCACTTCCCATAATAAATTATTCATCAATTTTATAAACTAAACAAATATTGTTAAATATTCCAAAATAGTATAGTGGACAAGTACGAAATGAATAATTGATACTCTTTTCGTCCAACAATAGTTGTCTACTATATTTTTTTAGGATATCTAACAATAATGGTCCACTTTATACAATAGGGGCGTGGGAGATATTAATTTAATTTAGCTTCAAATCGGGAGAAATAAAATTAGGATCACCGTCTTTTTATACAGTACTTACACAATCCATTAATGTCCCGTGAAAAATACAGGTAGCGAATTAACCATAAACCTGCGCCACCATTAAATATTCTTCTCATTATCTTCCAACTCCCTCTCCTATTTTTTTTATAAAAACCAAATTTCATTGCCTTTTTTTTCTGCTCAATTCCATATTATCTTTTTTATTTTTCAAAACTAAAAAAAATGGAAGGAGGACTATCAGTATCAACACCAAGCTTGTCCAGTGGATTAAAATGTTACTGGAAGAGGAGGAGAAGAGGAGGGTATGAGAGGCTAAACGGGTCGGGTTGTAGGAGGAAGAATCGGGTCGGGTTGGGGAGAGGAAGGTTCTGGAAGATAAATCTAAAGCCGAGGCTGAATCTGAAGCTCCGGCGATTTTCGCCGAAGAAATTGTTATTGAATATGCGGGATGCGTATGTGAATATGATGATGAAGATTGCTAATTCGAGATGTATGAGTAGTGGGATTGGTGGTGGATTCGGAACGAGGCAATTGAAAGAGTATGATGAGAAGATGCTCGTCGAGATTTACAAGTCCATGATTATTGCGCAGGGACAGTTAGTTGCTCGCGATGGTGTTGGTGTTAGTGCTGGTGCTGTAAAATTTGGCACTCCAATTCTGTGCCAACGGTAATTGACAAACAATGGAGTTTGAGCAACAATAGTGGAGTGGGGTATACACTAAAAAGATTACCCAAGGTCCTAACAAGAAAAGACAAGAATGGGGTAAAAACTATCCACAAATCAATAAATATATTTTTCATATGGTGTCTTATTTTGTAAAATTCAAATAAGTTTGGTACGGATTATGTATTTATATTTAAAAAACTTCCTTAATTGAAAGTGTATGATGAGAAGGTGCTTGTGGAAAATTACAAGTCCATGATTCCTCGAGATGGTGTTACGTTGGTGCTGGTCTACAAAATTTGGCACTCAAATTATGTGTCAACGATAAGTCCAAAATTTACAAACAACAATAATAACATTTGTATAGTTCTACACATGAAAATATAAAGGAAGGGTAGGGTATGTCAAGTCTTATCCCCGACTTTATGTGAGGAAGGGGCTATTTTTCTTTGCTTCTTGGCTCAACAAAATCAACCAATGATAATTAACCTCATAACATAAAAATCAATAAATGCTTTTCTTTTTGGTTTCAACTTTATATTGTAATTAAAAGTTTGCTTAATATATATAAATAGTTTATGATAAACTTTGTGTTTTAAATCAAATTATGTCGAAAAGTCTATTTTGGAGATAAATATTTCTCACAAAAGGTGTTTTTAATTGTTAGGACTCAAAATTCAAGACCATTGATTAAGGGCTTGTTTAGTCATGCGATATGGAATCATGATATGATATCTTGAGATGAAATTGAAGTTTTGTTTGAACATGCATATGAAATTTTTGTGTTGTATATTTTCTCATAAACATAAAAATCTCATAAGTTGTAAAATTATTAAAATAGCCTCAATTGTTTATTCAGTCTTATCAAATAAACAAAAATTTATAAAATTGCATAATAAATTATTACAAAGCTATTTGTTCTCTACTTAAGTAATTGTTTCATCTAACTTTAATTTAATAAAAAAAATTGAACATAAATTGTAGTGTACTAGTCTTTAATATAATCCTCCCACATAGTATATACAATTTCCTCACGTTGAACTTGTATTTTTCGATCATGTGATCGAGAAGACGAACCAACATTGTTACTTTGAGCCATTTGTTGGTCAATATCATCCACAACTATATTTTCATGCTCATAGACCATAAATATTTCATCAATACTTTGGTATTCTCGCAAATAATTATGTAACACTACACAAGCTATGACAATTTTCACTTGTGTATCAATATAATAATGGTTCATGCCTTGTTTCAGTATTCTAAATCTATTTTTTCAAGCTCCAACAGTTCGTTCAATAACATTGCGCAGAGATGAATGCCTTTAATTAAATAGTTCTTTGGCATTTTGAGGCTCTCTTTCACTTTCTCAGTAATCTTGCAAATGATAGCGTAGTCTTTTGTATGGAGCTAAAAATCATTTTGTGTTTCAGAAACCAATATCAACAACATAATATTGATCTACCAACAAACATTTTATAAAGAATTACTAAAAGCATATGTGATGTAAATGAGACAGTTTTGTGTAAATAAATAATATTTATTCTAAGGATGTAATTTAAAGTTACCATGTGGCGAAAATGGAAAATGTAACATTGGTTCAACTAGTGCATTCTCAAGTACTTTACTATCATGTGTAGTACCTTCCCAACCAGCACCAACAAAGGTAAATCTATATCAAAATCACAAGCACATAAGACATTTTGTGATGTTCTTCTTTTGCGATTACGATATGCTTGTTGCACCGCTTTAGGAACCTCTTTTCTATATATGTTCCATCAATCGCACCAACACAATCCTACCAAATAAAAATACATCAATATTAGTTTAGTGAATATAAAATAAATTAGAAGCATTATAGAATGCACTTCATAAAAATAATGTTTGTAAGAGTAATAAAAATAGTGCTTCCAAGACAATGTAAAGTCATAAAATAAATATTATCTCTTTAAACAATGTTGATAGGTATAACTATAGTTGTAATAAATACAAAACGGTAGAAGTAATAAATTAAGTGTTGGAGTAAATGAATAGAACAAATTTATTACTCAACAATCAGTTGATGTGAGTTAAAGTAATTATATGTTGGTGAGAATAATAAATTTTAAAAAGTATTGATGTGATTATAAATTTTATTTACATATGAAATAAATGGTTAGTAGATATAAATGTGGGGTTGTTTTAACAAAATATGAACTAATGGATTAATTTTTGTATTAAAATATCTCAAATCATGAAATGGAATTCCCATATAATTCCATATCATGGTTTTTGGAGAATATGGAATCACATCTCATGATATGGAATCAGCGTAAAATCGCATATCCAAACGTTGATTCCATCTCACGATACCATATCGACGCCTACTAAGAATAGACGTAAGTAAACCTACAAGTGTAACCAAATAAGTTTTGTAAGACTTTCTATGTAGTCGAACAAATTCTATGGAGTTATTATTGTATTTTAATTTAAAAATATTGTAAATACTCGTAAATTTTAAATGTTGATTTCAACAAAAAAGACGAAAGAATATTTATCCATAATAGAATCCATAAATATTGACCTCACAAAGTCCACTATAATTCCCAAGGCGACTGTTAACTATCAGCCTAAGTATTCGATTTTGTGAAAGGGAAATTGCTTTCACAAGTGTTATAGACGTATCCGGAATATAATAGACTTGTCATTTTGAATGAGAGTTATTTAACACAAATTCTCAACTAGCCATACAAGGAACACCACAAAATACTTAACACAGGGAGTATTTTCTTTTGTCCTTATCAAAATCTAATCTTGGCTCAAAAAAGTTGTTTCTTTGTCTCTATCTCTGTCTGTTTGGTAAATCTTGTATCTTGTTGTTATGTATTTGGAAGGACTGGTAGATGGTCCTGTTTAGGGAGTTGTCAGACAATGGCTGTGTGGAGAAATACTTGGGAAACTAGAAATATAGCATTGGAAGGAAGTCAAACAGGTGAGGCTAGTGTTACTGCACAGGAGAGGGTGATAGTGAGCCTGGACTTGGTTTGTTTGCCCTGCCTTTGTCCATCATTAGGCCTATTCAATATTTACACTTCAATCCAAACTTGTTAGTCCATACTATGAATTTTCAATCTCCTTTTTGTTTGATTTGGACCTATTTGCATTCCTTACTCAAAACTATACACTTCTGCCTAATGTTTAGTGTACCATTAAGACTAAGTTTAATCTCAACATGTAACAAGCACCATCTAGCAGAAACGGGGCCAAAAGCCACTCGAAAAGGAGAAAAGAAAGGAGTGGAAATGTCACAACAACAGGTGGATCGAATTCGTGAAGAGCTTTCTTGTGCTGTAATAGTCTCAGTTCATTCTTCACCATTTTCATCTATCAGTTAGGAGGTACCAAAATGTCCTAATCTTGTTGTTTTAAACAAGTCATTTGGAAAGTCAACCCTCAGAGTCGTATGGCCAGTCCACGAGAATTTGGAAAACTTTTTTTTCAACTACTTTTCACTTTTGAAGTTATATGTAAAGTACATTCAAACATGAACAACATTATTCTCTTCTAGATGAAATCTATCGCCAAACGCCTTCTATAAAAGACAACTCTTCCTGAAGATCAAACACTGATTTGAATTGGAATTTTTGTTTCAGGCTGATCCATGTGAGACCTGTTTAATCATAAGTACTCTTCTTCTTCGACCAATCCACTTTGTCTTGCATGTAGCATCACCTGAAACTACTTTATAACCCGCATTTGTATACAAACGTTGAGCACCAAAATCATCCTCGTTAACCCTTAGGACTAGATATTCAAACCCCCAAAATCTTGCAAGAACATCACAGGCCTTGAGCAACGCTGTTGCAACTTTCTGCCTCCTGCAATTTTAGGTCTGTGTTAGCATAAAAGGCACACATAACTCATCTCTACATTCATTTAACATAGGAATTAATATCCGATTGAATCGTGAACCTGAATTTGTTCAATACAGCAATCCCAGAAATATAGATATACTCTGTTCCTCCCGGAAGGTACTGAAGAACATCATCATCGCTATTTACTGTAGCATCAACCACTCCTACAACTTGTTGTTTTACCTCAGGGGTGTCAGTTGAGGCCTCCGCAACTAAACATGCATACCTGTTTAGTCAATTATTTCAGAAACTGATAATAATGATATGAGCTTGATTAGAAATGATGGAGACCATCATATCTAAATTCCTTTCTGGATAAAATATTGTTCATAATGCAGTTAGATTTTCTTGTTTGTGACTGAAGCATAGTTTAGATTTTTTCAACAAGGAGAGAACTGTATAACAGAAGAGAAAATAAATGATTTTTACCTGTCTGGTTTATAATTCTTCAGTTTGTATACAAGTCTTGAAAGTTGTTCATCCTACATAACAGAGAACAATATATGATCATCATTCTAAAATGATGCTAGAAACAGAGAGAAAAAGAAAATCAAGAATGGGGAAGATGAAAAATCAAGAACCTGAAAGAGCAAGTACTTGGAGAAGGGAATAGGTTGAGAGAAGGCTTTAGCTCGAACGACAGCAACTTCCCTCATCATCTCTTGTTCAGTGGTCTCATTCATTCTTGTGACTTTCCATCCATTCTCATTCACTAATTCATATTGATGATCTCCTCTTTGTGACTTGATCTTCCTCGCAGACGCTGATGAAACTGGAAAAGAAGTAGTTGTGCTGGTGCAACATTGTTCATTCATTGGAGAAGGGAACAGGTACTTTGATCTCCAATTACAAAAAGTTATTCTGCCTCTGTTAATTGAAAGTTGTTTGCATGTAGCATCTTTCTTCAATGTTGTTGAAATACTAGTGGGTTGCCATTGACATTGCGCAGCCATTTCTTTTCTCAAAACTCATCCTTGTGGGGTTCCGTTATTTCAGTTAGTGATGCTTTTATACTCTTCTCATTCCAATTCCTTCTGTTTTCTCTTTTTCTTTTTGGGTCGAGGCTTCCATGAAATATTACACAAAGGTTGAATTCTCTTAGTTTTTTTTTGCGTGTGTTTAAAATTATTGTGAAAATTCTTGTTCCGTCAATGGAAACAGACTATCAACCTTGCAAGGTAGGGGTAATGTGTAAGGATACACAACCCAGCTCCTCCCAGACCTCACTTATGGAATTAAACTGGATATGTTGTTGTTGTTATGTATATTTAGGAAATGGGTGTATTTTTATATAGTTATTTGATTAATTGGACTAAAAGTGAGATGAATAGATTATAATATTAAGGGTGTGTGAGGTATGTTGAAAAATATTTTTTGACTAAAATAGGTTATGTTTGTTTGGTCCACAGAACGAGATTCAACTTCTAACATTAAGTTGCTTGTCCTCAGTAGCTTAGAGTGGTTGGTAGTTAGCTGATTAGTCGTAGGTTTAATTTCTATTTGGGAGTATTTTTTTAGTTATGGTTTTTTTTTGTCGTTTCATCTTTGTGCATTGTTAAATAGATTTTGACCTAATTCTCATATCAAAAACTAGCTCATAATGAATCGAGTTGTGCTCAAATTAATAAAAGGAAACCAATTAACCTCATCTTATCTTATGTGGGACTCAACACCCTCCCGTACGCCCAAGATTGGATATCTTGGACTGTGGATAATATATGATAGGGCCCAACATTGGACTTTGATATCATGTTAAATAAATCTTAAACAAAACTCACACTTCAAAAATTAACTCAAATTCATATCAGAAAATCAATACAATTTATCAAGTATAATGATTGTATTTTGAATTCAATATTAGTTATCCTTGCAAGTTGCAATCTTTCTACGTACCAATTGTACATCATCCATAAAATACCTTATACTAATAATGGAAAAGACGCATAAACAAAAGGGACAATTATATATCAATAGTAGATGGTAAAACAGTACCATATTAATATATTGTGTTTTTTCAAGTATATTTTTCTTTATTGTGTATTTATCGTTGTCATAATTTACAATTATTAACTTTTACATGACGTTGTAATTATTTTAATCCCTACTATATGCATGTATTTGAATATGTTGTTGAGAAAGATCATTTGTGGTACAAACTGACACCTGTTTACAAATCAACAATAGAACAAATACATTCAATACGAAACCTCAAAGAATCAAATTAAAGGAATAGTCAATTACTCCATATTAATTGAGTTATTTAAGCATCGTGCATTGATTTGACATAAATTAATTATGAACTACTTTTAAAAAAAAAATATGTGGTCTAAAATAAACATGGAATATTTGTGTGATTATAAATTATTTTATCAAGAATAAAAATTAAACATTGTTTTTTGAACAAGTAATAAAAGATAGTCTGTCATAAATTAAAAGAGAAAGAGTAATAAACAGAGAGTATATATTTTGAGTGTGAATAGTGATGTTCTTCTAATGATATATTGTGTATTGACCCAAGTATCTTGTCAACTGAGATCATCCTTCAAATAGATATTGCACTATAACTTTTAGTGGATTTTTTTTCTAGTAAAATAGACAAAAATACTTCCTTCATTGTTAGGATGATCTGGTAAAAATTACAACTTTCCTTCAAGGTCTCCTTAGAACTCTCCATAATAAACTTTCCAGAGATGATAATGTGAAAAAGCTTAAAGTGATCCATTTGTTCTTGTTGTAGACTTGTAGTAATCATAGTCAGGAGAGACTAACTATAAACCATTTATTTTGTGCAAGTGTATATGTTCTGTCAGATATGACAACATCAAGATGACTAACATGATGTATATTATATTATTCACCAAACTTGTAAATATATATGTGTATAATATTTTCCCTTCCCTACTTTTTGGAATGGAATCTGACAGTATATTGGCATACTAGCCAAGTTATTTATTGGAATAAGCTTTTAAATAGTTTCTTAAAACTCAATGTTATAGATATTTGGGAAGCTCAGGTATCTTGAGGACTTGTACAGATTTTTATGGTCATTTCAGCTACAACCTAGAGCCATCTTTCTAGGCTTGAAACTTAATTTGCTTTTATAAACAATTTTTGTGGAAACTGACTCTCAAATTAAAAGCATCCTCAAATTATGAAAAGAAAATTAAAATATATTAGTTAGCGTATTTCATGTTTCTCAAATTAAAATACTTCCCTTGAAATCCAGCAAGAATATGATGTCTCTGTATATCTAAAATAACGACTTTCGATATTTATTGTCAATCAGTTAATACAAATTTTCTAAGATTTATATAAGATTAAACCTATATTTATTTGTGGTATTGTTTTACAACAAACAAATATTTGAAACTTACCTTCATCACCAAGACTAAAATTTAGTTCAAATAATCTGTTTTCGAATTAACGAGATATATACATATTTTGAATATGTGAAATATACAATAAAAATTAGTATATGTAATTAAGTGAATTTAATAGGAAATAATATTATCGATCGATATTCTATATGTTCAGTCGAAACGTGCAAGGAAAAAGAGGATTTTCGAACCTAAACCTTCAAGTGTATATTGATTATTTATGTACATAATAAAATAAAGTGCTAAAATTAAGTTATATAGTACCCAAATTGACCCTTGTAATTTGGTTGGATTCCTTCTACTATACTCAAGTTCTATGGCCCCTTTATTCATTAGAAAATGAAAAGAAATTAGAATAATTATTAATTAAAGAAAAGTATATATGGAGTGCCATGGTTTTCATGATCATGTTATAAGGAATAAAATGAGGACCACCTATTTTTATTTTTATTTTTAGATAATAAAAAGTGAAAGACAACCCATGCTGCCATTCTCTCCACTTCCAATAATATTATACCGATAACGATTAAAATCTCTTCACTCTTAATAAAAAATTTCAACCTTTCATATTAATTTTCTCCTTATACGTACATCTAAGTTTCACATGATCAATCATTTTCCCGGCTTATGTGGAAATTAACAATGTGTCATGCACCCACATCGTCCTAATATTTATGACTACTAAAATTGACATGCTATTTTTTTCCGCATATTTACGCCTTTAAGGTTTGATACTATTATTTCACCGTTTATTTCAAAAATACTCTTTAACATACCGTCATATTGTCCACCTCAGTCTACACGATATTTCCAAAAGGCTTTACCTTTTGTCTTTAGACAATAAACTTAGTTGTGACACACTATTATTTCGTTGTCTTTCATTTTTCCAGCTACTAATATTAAATTTTTTTTGTATACTCAACAATTTGATATGAATCTAAATTTGTTATATTCTGTGAATTTCCAATATTGAATTGTTAAATCATTTGGAACAAAAAAAAAAAGATTGCATACTGTTTAGCTGTGAATAAATCACAGTTCACTTTTCTCTCTGATTTTGCCTTGGGATTACTCAAAACTTTATCTTATGTATGGCCAACTCAAAAGTCAAAAACAAGGCAATGTTATGATGAGATGAATATATATAAAACGATAATTTTTATATTTAAAGATTTATCAAATTATAAATTCACTTTTGGAACTCAGTAATTTTAATTTGAACTCTATATATTTAATTTATTGCGAAATTCACTAACGATATATATATTTAAAGCAATATATTGCAAATGAATTCTTTGGTGGACAAGGAAATATAAAAGAAAATAAAGAAGTTATAAGAACTATTGCTAAAGAGCAATTGGAAAAATTACAAATTTGTAAAATGAGTTATATTCAAGAATACACCTGTGAATTCGAAGAATATTACTACAAGATATTTGATAGTGGTAAGGAAATGATGCCTTATCTAGAAAAATACTATAAAAAATTACCAGGCTTCTGGGCAAAATACTTACCATTAATTTTGTGCTGTTTATTTTAAACAGGGTTGCGGAATAAATATGTAAATACTGTTTTTTAAGCAGTGAATACTTTATAATTTTTTAAGATTGATAGAGCATTTTTGTATTCAAAATACAACAAAAATGAAATAGAATTCTTAGGAATGATTATTTCAAAAAATGGAATTGAACTCCAATTTCATATATCTAGAAACTCGAAAGGTACCTAACATTTTTCTAAGATGGGTTTCTCTAGGAAAATGTAGTCTGCCTTTTCCGAAAACACTATCTTCTTTTGATTTAACATCTTTTTCTTGGAGTTTTCTTGATGATGAAGTGTAAGATTTATGGATTTTTTTTCTTTAGATTCGTTCCACTATTCTTGTCCTTTTGTCTAATGGATCTACACCAATAGTACTATTTCAAACTGATTTTATACTAATTCTTTTTGGGTGAAGTAAAACTTCTTCCAAGTTTCATTTTTCATCAAGATTTTTTTTCCGGAAAAGGGTCAAAATTGCCTCTGAACTATATGAAATAGATCATTTATACCCTTCGTTATATTTTGGGATCAAAAATGCCCCTGCTGAGGTACCTAACATTATCTTCAAGTCCTTCGCTTTACTTGTTTGCTGGGGCCGAAGATTCCTTGAGATAAGATAATAGACGCTTCATTGTCTTCTTTTGAATAATTAGCCGACATGATGTGACCCTTCTTTTTGTCTTTGAGAAAAAGAAAAGGATTCCTTTTCTTTATTGCTTCATGACGTAAGTGGTTACGTTATTTTTGGTATGAAACAAGTTTCACCTTTATATAACATTTCTATTCCATTTTTTCCAATGCTGTAATCTTCTAATTTATTTAGGAATAGATTTCCTAAAATTAATTCTTGATCAGATGAAAGATTTATAAATGCAAGAGAAGGAAATCTTGGTATAGTAGAGGGAAACCTAGCCTATACAAAACTCCTATTTACATACTATCCAAAATATTGTATATCACTCAAAGATGCTGATTTTAAAACAACCTAGAAATTTTTGAATTTCTTGTTTTGTTGTTAATTTGTCAGGAAACTC